GCACGGGGCCAGGGCTGCGGGTTACACATTAACCCTGGGTAGGGAAACCCAGCTCGATGCCAGCTGGGCCCTTTCCCTCCCCCGCACCCCATCATCCCCCAGCTCCATCCTCCTTGCACACCCGTACCTGGCACCCTGAGCCACCCTGAACCCCTCTGCCTGCTGCGATGCTGAAGTTTCCTGGCTCCCTGCGCACGGCGGGGGCAGTCACTGGAGACTTCCTGCGTCCAGAGCAGGGGAGGGACCAAGCCCCCTCCCTCACAGTGCTTTGTGCCTTTCTCAGGCAGGGTATGGGGGTCCCCAGGGGCAGAAGAGGGTCTGAGGCTCCCCCACCCTGCTCCACCCGAGGCCCGGCCCCACTCACCAGCCAGCGGGACCATCAGTGGGCAGAAAGCAGCCAAACGCAGCAGCCACTGGGGAGCGATGGGAGCCATGGTGGAGAGTGGCCGAAGGTCTGGGCTCAGGCCACGCGTCGGGGCTCCAGCTGTCCCCTCGCCCGCCTGCCGCTGCAGCCGCTGCCTGCGCTCTGTCGCTTTTTATAATGGGACTGCGCCGCCTCCGCCTCCGGCCCCCGCAGGCGGGCGGGAGGGAGGAGGGCGGAAGGGAGCCAGTGAGCGGCGCGGATTCTTCCCTGGATGTTGCCAGGGAACCGAGCTGGCTCCGCTGTTCCCGCTGTTCCCAGAGGGGCTGCCGCAGGGGTCCCTGGCCGGCAGCTCAGCCACTTACGGTCCTGGGAGGATGGCCCAGGGTTCAAGGAGCCTCCTCCACACTCGTCTGCACAGGCCACCTCCCTGCCAGCGCTGGCACACGCCCTAGGATCCAGCTGGGGGCCCCAGCTCCTAAGCAGACAATAAACAAAGACAGCAGGGCGGAGGGATAGTGAGGAACTGATGGACCCCGGCCCCGCGCCTTCACCCCAACCCCTGACTGTGAGCTCCTGGGGACCGTGTTCACGGAGGATCTCCTGCACCGGGAGCGCAGCAGAGGCTCAGTGCACAGCTGAGAGAGGAGGAGGAGGGTCCCTTTGCTAAGCCCAGGGTTGCGGAGGATCCGCACTAGGCAGGAAGGGGCATCCCAGGGTGGGGGTACCGGGATGCCCTGTTAGAAGCCCAGGCTTCAGGATCGCAGGCCCTGCTCCCTAGGACAGATGGGGAAAGTAGAGCCCCGAGAGGGGGAGGGGTCACCCCAGGTCACAGAGAAGAATATGCAGCACAGCAGGACTGGATAGCTAAGGACAGAGCAGAAAACCCAGCCTCCTGCCACTCCTGCTTTGTGCAGGGACTCCGGTCTCCCAGTGTCGTCCCCCCACCCCCCACCCCGCCCCAGCCTGCATGCCAGCCATCCCGGGGAAACTGCTGTGGCCTCTGCTCTCCATCCGCTCTAGGAGGGAGCTGGGGAGGGGGCTCCCAGATCTGACCTTGCAAGCCTGCACCCCCAGGCCAGGCAGGCTTCCCCCCAACCTGTCCCCACTGCAGGCAGGTGTCAGGGGGTCGGGGTGGGGGGCAGCGCGGTGTTGTCTGAGGGTGGTGGCAACAGTCCCCAAGACTCCAGAAGAGGAGCCAGGCGCCAAGCGCACTGGGCTAGGTGTCTTCGGGCTGCCAGCCAGAGGGAAAGCCAGTCTGTCAGTGTGCCAGCGTCCCAGGCCACCAGGCCAGCTGGGCCAGGCAGGGCTGGGCAGGGAGGCCAGAGCTACCAGGACCAGGGGACTGTCACTCGCTCTGTAGTCACCCCCCACCCACGCACAGATGAGCTGCCTGAGGAGTGGGGCGAACAGGCAGACGTGTGCCTGGGTCCACTCACACCGGGTGCTTCGTTTTATAGCTGGGGAAACAGGCCCAGAGAGGGCCAAGGATCAGGAACACTGACTGGGGTCCAGGCTCCTTCTGCCCTGGTCCTGCGGCGGGGGGAGGGGCAGGAGGAGGAAGAAGGGTGAAGAGGAAAGGAGGAAAAAGGGGAGGGGGAGGGGGATGTGGGCAGGAGAGGAGGGAGGGGGAGCAGGAGGAGTAGGGGCGGGGCCTGGGAGGCCTCAGAAAGGGAGAGAGTAGGGAGCCCTCTCTAGCCCGGACTGCCCTTCAGAGGAGCAGAGCGAGGGCGAGGTCCGGCCCCCCAGGCTCTGGCACTGGCTCTGCGTGGCCTGGGGCTGCTCCCTGATCTCCCCAAAACACTGCTTCCTCCTGGGTCAAGGGAGGACGGATCCGAGCTCACGCTCACCCCGCACCAGCACCGCAGCGAGGGCTGCCTGTGCTTAATCAGGCCCGCAGCGCGGCGGCGGTTCTTGTGGCCCATTTGACGGATGGGGACACCGGGGCGGCTCAGAAGCTCGCTCAGGCTCAGGCCAGGGAGCCTGGCTGTGTCTCCCTCCCTCCCTGCCTCTCTCCCTCCTTCCTCCCCTTCCTTGTTTCCTTCCTCTTTTTCTCTTATTTTTGAACCAGAATCCAGTCTAGATCTGTGCACACCGTATGGTTATTCCTTTTCAGTCCCCAGAAGGCCGCCTGACCTTTTGAAGTGTGAAGACCATTAGCTAGATGGAGTTCTGGGCTCCTGGCTTCTGCCTGGCCCAGCCCTGGCTGGTGCAGCCATTTGGGGGGAGCGAGCCAGAGGATGGAATCTCTCTCTCTCTCTCTCTCTCTCTCTCTCTGTCACTCTGCCTTTCAAATAAATAAAGTTTTTTTCATAATCATGCATTATCTTTTACCATACTATATTCTCATTCTTAAGTTATCTTATTTCCTTGGGATGTCATCTAATTTGGTCCTCTACCCTCTCCCGTTTCCCGTGAAACAGGAAGGCTTGGTTAGAGCCAGGCTGGATACTCTTGGCAGGCATCCCTTCCCAGTGACTCTGCCTCAGGAGGTACTTGCGGCCAGGTCCCCGGTAGTCCCTGCCCTGTCGGGGTGGACGGGTTGAGGATGACGGCAGACACATCACTCACCCTGTGCCGGCAGGTCAGCCACAGCACGGAGCTTGGCACCCTGCCTGTGGACAGTGTGTTCCAAGCGGCAGGGAAAGCCCCACTGAGGGGAAAGTACAGACCCTCTTAGGGACACTGGGGATGTCCGATGCCAGTGGCCCAAGGGGGAGGCCACGGCTGGACCACGCTGCGGAGGGTTCTGAAGCTGGAGTGAGAACCGAGGGGGCTGTTGAGGGGCAAAGGAGAAGTGGTCAGGGGTGGACCCTCAGGATGCAGGGCCCCTGTCTGGGTGCCCCCCAGAGCAGGGAGGCGGTGCTGGTGGTATGGGACGTGAAGGGCTCCCCCGGCCCTAGTAGCAGAGCACAAACAGCTGTGGAAAGGAGGGTGGGGTTCCCGGGGCGGAGCGGGGGGGAGGGGACCCCGGGAGCCGCTGCTGCTGCTGTTCCCAGGGTCCCTGAGGACAGCCTCACCATGGCTCCCCTGCCCACCTGCCCCTGCCCAGCTCACGCCTGGGAGGGCTGCCCACATGGCCGTGACGTTTCCTCTGTTTGTCCCACACTTGGCCAAGCTCTCCTTTTAATTGTGGTAAAAACATCCATGCCCCAAAGCTGCTGTTTTAGCTGATTTAAGGGGACAGTTCCGCAGCACTCACACATCCCCACTGCGTGTGGCGGCCCCCAGCGCCCATCTCCTCAACGTGGTCACCCAAAGTCTTTACCCACGGACCAGGAGCTTCCTCCTCCGGCCCTACTCTTTGTCTAAGAAACCCATGTGAGGGGGCTTCGAAAACCTCATGGAGGGGCCAGCATTGGGGGGCAGCAGGTTAAGGCGCCACTCGCAATGCCGCGTTCCATATCAAAGCACCCGGTGAGCCTCGGCTGCCCCGCTTTCGATCCAGCTCCTTGCTAATGCACCTGCGAAGGCAGCAGATGGTGGCCCAAGTGTTGGGTTGCTGCCACCTGTGTGGGAGACCCGGATGGAGTTCTGGGCTCCTGACTTTGGCCTACATATGCCCTGGCTATTGTGGTCATTTTGAGAAATGAACCAGTGGACAGAATCTCTCTCTCTCTCTCTTTCTCTCAGTTTGTCCCTCTCTCTCTGTTCACTCTGCCAGTCAAATATAAATGAATACATAAATAAATCTTTCTCAGGGGCCGGCACCGTGGCTCACTTGGTTAATCTTCCACCGGCAGCACCAGCACCCCATATGGGCGCCAGGTTCTCTAGTCCTGGTTGCTCCTCTTCCAGTCCAGCTCTCTGCTGTCGCCCGGGAGGGGAGTGGAGGGTGGCCCAAGTGCTTGGGCCCCTGCACCTGCATGGGAGACCAGGAAGAAGCACCTGGCTCCTGGCTTCGGATTGGCACAGCGCGCCGGCCGTAGCAACCATTTTGGGGTGAACCAACGGAAGGAAGACCTTTCTCTCTGTCTCTCTCACTGTCTATAACTCTACCTGTTAAATAAATTTTAAAAATAAAAATAAAAATAAATCTCTTTCACAAGTAAGAAAAAACATGGAAAATTCGCATCATCTTTTAATTCCATTTTTCCAAGAACACTTTGAAGGCTGGTGATGCAGTGCGGCTGGGGGACCCTCACCAAAGCTGGTGCTGCGTGGTTTGGTCTTTCAGCCTCCTAAACTGTGAATTAAATAAATCTCTTTGCTATGTAAAGTACCCAGCTTCAGGGACGTCATTGTAGAGATGAGAATGGACCAACAGCGCCCCCTGGCCCACCTTGTACAGCCAGCCAAGGCCCAGGAGCTGGCGTGAGCCCTGGGGCCAGCAGTTCAGATGCCCGCATCCCACAGGGGACAGCGCTCCTAGGTGTGCTCCTGGCTCCAGCTTCCTGCCAGTCAGACCCTGGGAGGCAGCAGATGATGCTCAGGTTTCTGGGGCCCTGCCACCCACGTGGGAGACCAGGATCGAGTTCCTGGCTCCCAGCTTTGGCCTCAGCACAGCCCTGACTGTTGTGGGGGGTCTGGGGAGTGAGCTAGTAGATGGTGCTCTCTCCCTCACTCTCACTCTCTCCCTCTTTGCCTCTCAAATAAAGAAACAAGCAAACACACAAATGCGAAGGAACCAAAGCAGACGTGGTTTTAGAGGGTTTATTTTCCAGAAGGCCTGAGGGTCAAGGACAAGGCAGAAGGGGATGGACCCCAGGGCTCTGTCATGAGCAGCAGGCAGGCTGGCACTTGTCGGCTGTGGCAGGCAGCTGGCCTTGGGTTCCAGGAGGGATGTGGGCCCTCTCAGACCCTGAGCCATGTGGCTGGCCAAGTGTCACTTACACACTTGAGACCGAGCCCAGCAGGAGCCTCTTAGGGTGGGTATTCTCACTCTCATTTCTCAGGGGAGGCTCAGAGAGGTTAACTGATCTCCTTGTGGCCACACAGCTACACTCACCATGTTGGGCCATGTCAGGCTCCCTTAGAAAGGAGCAAGCACATGTCAAGTTTATTTTGTTTACTTGGGACACTGCTGGCCCCCGGGAGGCAGAGCAGGGTCCCAAATGTTGGTCCTCAGCCTGGCCCTGGCCACCTGAGAACAATGTCTACCCAGGGATCCTTCATTCAACCATGACCCCCCATACACACCCAGTGCTACCCTACCACAGCCAGCTGCCTCCAGAGCCAGCAAAGCTCCACCTTGTTCCCCTCTCACACAGCTCCTAAAATTCTCCCGTTCGTCCACTTGTCCTCATAAGTATTTACCCTCTTTTCCTATACAAATACATCTATAGCTTATAATACCAAGGCAAAGATAGTCATTTACACCATAGCATGAATTTGGTCACAGCTCTTTAGGGAAGGAGGCCAGGAAAGTAGAGGTCAGGCCCGGGTGTTGGAGGCTGGAGGAGCACTAAAGGCCTAATAAAAAGGGCAGGGATCCAACATGTGGGGCAGACAGGGAAGGAGGTGCCTTGGGCAAAGCTGGAGTGTTGCCAGCGTCCCAGCCAGCTCCTTCCTGGTGAACTTGAGTCTCTGTTGCCGGGCAGCAGCCTCCCGCGGGGAGAGGGCTTGCTTTCACTGACTCCATCTGCAGGCCCTTGCTGACCTCTGGTTCTATGCCAGGCCCTGCACACCACGTTCTGTGCTAGAGGCCAGGAGGTTGGAGTAACTCGAAGTGGGGACCTTGGTCCAACCAGTGGGGCTGCAGGACAAGGCCCCAGTTCTGAGAATCCGGGCAGACTGTGACCGGGGCTCTTAAGTGGGGCCAGAGGGCAGGGAAAGACTAAAACCCAAAGCTCGGCAGTGAGCGGCTTGGGCTGAGCAAGGCCCACGTGGGCTGGCGGGGGGCTGGCCGCATGCAGGTGACAGGAGCGGCATTCCGGGAGAAGAGCCAGGAGTAGAAATGTAAGGACTGGGCTTGCAGGGCAGGGAGCTGGAGCCCAGCTCCCAGTACAGGAGAGGGAGGGGATGGGGTACAGGCAGCGGTGGAACCCAGATCCCAGTACCAGGAGCCCTGGCCTCAGCGTCAGGCAGTGGGGAGCCGTGGAAGGCTTTGGAGCAGGGAGTGACTGACCGGGACATGGGCCCTGTGGCTGCGGTGGGGTGGAGGAGGGGTGAGGGTCAGATGGGAGCGACAGGGAGCCAGACCCAGGGTGACAGCAGCAGGGATGGAGGTGGGGGGGTGCGGAGTCACTGGCACGGGCTTCTATGGGAGAGCAGCTGTGATGGTAGAGAGGTAGGGCTCCGCGAGCCTTCCTGGAGGAGCCACGGCCAGGGTCGTCAGGGCCCCTCTTCACTGTTCCAGCTTCCGGAGAATCTTCTTCACCCAGGGCAGTCTGGGGTCGGCACAGATCTCCAGGCCTTTGAGGGTCACCAAGCTGGAAGGAGACAGCGGGGCCACAGCGCAGCAGGTGAGCGTGCAGTCAGGATGCCGCCCCCTGCCCTCCACAGCTTAGCAGTTATGAACCGCCTACTGTATGCAGGGCTCCTCCTTGATGCTCACTTGCTACACGTGGGAGTGCCTGCTAACTAAAGAGGTTCAAATGCACAAGCTGCCTACTGCATGCAAAGGGGAGACAGGGAGATGGGCGGCAGGGCTCCTAGGACCCTCAGCTCCCTCGCCGTGGCCTTGGGAACCAGGCACACGGTGTCACTGACACTGCCTTGGGGAAGAGGACGGGATAGCGGCCAGGCTGTGGACTTCGGAGCCGGCCTGTCTGCATTCACACTCTAGATCTGTTGCTTGCTGACAAGTCACTGACCACTCCGCACCTCGGTTTGCACATCTGTAAAATGGTCCTCCTAGCTGAGCCTCACAGGACTGTGCTGAGTTCAGACACACTCAAGTGCTCGGGAGAGCACGTGGTAGGTGCCACGTCCCTGTGCCCACAGTTGGCCTGAAGCCGTTCCACTGATTTTCTTAATGAACCCTTACAACAACCCTCCAAGGCCCTACTATTCCACCCATTGTATCGCTAAGGAGATGGAGGCCCCAAAAGGCAAAGTGAGTTTCCCCAGTGCCAGAGCTGGGAAGATCTGACTGTACAGTGTCCACTGGGAGCCCGGCCTCTCGGCCCAGGGGCCACCTGGGCAGGCGCAGGTGCAGGCACCACCCCAACTCAGGAGAACAAAGCCAAGCAGCAGAGGAGACCAGCAGGGATGAGCCTTGATGGAGGGCCCGGGAGTCCTGGCCTGGCTGGGCAACCCCAAGCCAGGCCTTCTCCCTTGCGAAGCCTGTGCCTCCACCTGTAAAATGGGATTAACCGCGTCTGCGGCAGGACCGCCGTGAGGACCCCAGGAGTCGGCATGGGCCAACTCAGGACACTCCTGGCTGGTACACCTTGTGAGTGTCAGCACTCAGGCGATTCTTCTGACCAAAATGGGCATCTTCAAAGAACTCCCAGAGCCTGGGAAGGACCCAAGATGCTTCCACGCAGCGTGTCTGCTGGGTCCGTGCACCAGGCACGTCCCCTGTACTGATCCTACTACATACGCGGCCCCCACTGCTCATTCAGAACTGCCAACAGTAGCTGCTGAGTGACCAGGTGGTTTTTGTTTTTGGCTCACCCTCGCCTGGGCTGAGCCGTCTCCCAGCTACCTTCCTCCTTTCACCCCTTCTCCCCACCTGGGGGCCGCCCCAGGCCACACCTGTCAGGCCGCGCGGCCCTGTGGCCTTGGCGCCATACTCACACCACGCCAGGCCTCCGGCAGGAGTCCGAAGTCCAGTAGAAATACTTGACCACACGCGGGGCCAGGGGCCGGCGCATGTAGTCGCGGCAGCACACGCTGTCCTCGACGTTCGCGCCATAGGGACCTGCGGGCGGGGAGCACAGGGGCTCAGACTCGGCCCAGCCCCTGAGCGCAGGCCCTTGTGGGCCCTGGGGAAGAGACACAGCTTTTCTGTTCTTGTGAGTCTGGAGGACTCTGGGCCCCCAAAGACCCTGCACTGGGCCCTTAAGAAGCTGCCAGGGCCCGGTGCCTCCATGCTAGGAAGGTCAGCTCCAGGGGGCGGCGGTCACCCTGACCGAGCGCCGACACGCGGCTCCGCGGAGGCTCCTTGCACATGGTGGGGTCTGAGGTGCTGCAAGACCCCGGGAGGCTCCAAGCTCCCAGCAGTCCCCCCCCCCCGCCCGTGCATCTGCCTCAGCTCACTGCCACTCGAGCCCCCATCTTTGCCCAATGGCAAGGCTGCGGCCCAGAGATGGGGGAGCACTTGCCCAGGGTCACACAGTGAGACCCGCAGAGTAGGGACTGGGGCTCAGACAGAGGACAGGCACACAGCCCTGGCTGGAGTCCCACTCTGCCCTGAGCCACCAGGCCGTCATGGTCATTGCCTACCTCGGAGGCCGACGTCCCACTCCTGAGCAAGGCAGTACCAGCAGGACTGGCTCTACCGGGTCTTTGGTGGGTGGAAAGCGCTCAGGAAACCCTGCAGCTGTGCACGGCCACTGACTCCCTCCCCTGTGCTCACTCCTTTACCAACACTGAGTATGGCTGTCCACGGGGGTGGGGGGGGAGGGGTATGGAGAAGTCAGGACCACGGGGCTCAGGACAAGTTCTGGAGCCGGCGGTGGGAGGGCAGGGCCAGCATCCCAAGGAAGGGTCCCTTTCCTTCTCACTTCCTCCACTCAGGCCTGGCCACTGAGGACCCTGCAGGCCACGCCCACCACAACCTCCCAACCCTGCTGAGCCAGATCCTGGATGCCAAAAGTGCCCATTTAATAGACACAGAGCTGAGGCCCAGGGAGGTACCACCACACTCCCGGGGCCACAAGAGCTCAACCCAGGGCTCCTTCCTTCCAGGCCCCCCGGTCCCAGCCTCACCTGCCTCCGTTGCTTGAAGTACCACAGCCAGGAGCATGAGAGCAGCCAGGAGCGGGGCCTGCATGCTGGCCATCCTCTGTGCTGTGTGTCCCAGCCAGGTGTCTGCGGTGGCCTCGGGACAGGAGGTCTGCTATTTAAGCCTGCGCTCCACCCACCCATGAGACTCAGTCTTCTCTTAGTCACCCGTCCCCTGGAGGCTGTGACATTCACAATGCGAAAGGAGAACTCCTCACTTCCTCACGGAGAAGGCGGGGAACCACTGGAGGGGACCCCCATGCAGACCTGGCTCTGGGTCTCAAGAGACTTTGCAAAAACCCCCTCGAGCCGGGCCATGCTCCTCGGGGTCTGCTCGTGGTGTGGCCGTGGCCGTGGCCTGGTCGGCTCCGAGACTCAGTTTCCCCAGCTGAAAATGGGGAAGCCGGTTCCACAGCCCTACCTGTTCCTCTCAGTGTTTGCAGGTCCAGTGAGAATGTGGACTGGGGACTGGCTCATAGCAGGGGTGACTGAGGTAACGGGCCTTGCTGAGCTCCCCTGGGGTTCCTAACCGATCCCGCAGGCCAGCCAACAGTTTGCCCAGAGCCACTGCACAGGCTCACTCCAGCCTCTTCTACGTGTCTCACCCCCTCCCTTCTCAAGCCACGACCCTGCCTCAATGACTCCATTCCCTAAAGTCCTTGTCTCCGTTCTACTGGCCCGGCCTGGAGCAGACCCCTCCCTCTGGCTTACCCCCTGGGCCTCCTCAGCCAGAGAGAGTGGTCAGGACTCAAGACTGCACATGCCTCTCTTCTGCTCCCCCAAACCCTGCCTTGGTTCCCCACAGCCCCGAGGCAGAGTCCAGACTCCTTACAGTGGCCTCCTGGGTCCACTTCCCAGCCACGGGTCCCCAGGGGCCTCCCTCCCCTGAGGGATCCCACCCCCCTCCTTACAGTTCCTCCCCAGCCAGGTGGCCCAGCCCTGCCCACGAATGTCACTTTCCACTTCTCCACCACACACACTCCTACTCATGCGTCAGGGGCCATGCGAAATGTCAAGTTCATGGTCAGCCCACGCTCTCAGGACATCACAGGCTTTGGAATGACCCTGAGTGGACACAGTCAGCTTTCTCTTTCTCAGCCTGATCCCCAGCAGGCAAGCTCCAGGCTGTTGGAGGGCTAGGGCGGGCTGTCTCCTTTTCTTGTCCCTGGCATCCCCAGTTCCCCCTGGGGGGCCAGCCACGTGCTGAGAGCCCATCTAGAGAGAAGACTGAGACCTGGAGGAGCGGGTGACCTGCCTGAGATCACACAGCTGCACAGGGCACGAGCCAGGCCTGGGGCCCGGAACTCATGTTCCGCTTATGAGTCATTCATTCATTCATTCAACAAACATGTATTGAGCCCTGTGGCAGACAGAACTGTGGCCCGCCAAAAATGCACACACCCCAAGCCCCCAGACCTGTGAACATGTTTTGAAAAAAAAAAAAAAAAAAAAAGGACTTGCAGGTGTGGTTAAGATAAGGCTCTCAGCACTCAGCACAGGCAGAGCTCCTGGGTTATCTGGATGCACCCAGTGTTCTCTCTGGGTCATTGCCAGGGGGAGGCAGAGGTCACAGTCACAAGAGAGAAGTGAGGAGTGGCGCTGTGGCACAGCGGGTTAAGCCATTGCCTGCAATGCAGGCACCCCATATCCCAGAACTGGTTTGAGTCCCAGCTGCTCCACTTTGGGTCCAGCTCCCTGCCAATGCACCTGGGAAGGCAGTGGAAGATGGCCCAAGAATGGGGCCCCTGTGGGAGACTCAGATGCAATTTCTGGCTCCTGGCTTCAGTCTGGCCCAGCCCTTGCTGTTGTGGCCATTTAGGGAGTGAACCAGAGGATGGGAGCTTGTGTGTGTGTGTGTGTGTGTGTGTGCTTGCGCGCCTCTCTCTGTATAACTCAAATAAATCTTAAAAGAGAGAGAGAGAGAAAGAGAGAAGGGGGTGGGGTGGGTTTTTGGGTGGATGGTTTAGGTGCCCCTTGGAATGCTCTCATCCCATATGGGAGGGCGTGAGTTCAGGTCCCAGCTCTGCTCCTCAGCCCAGCTACCCACTAATGCAGACCCTGGGAGACAGCAGGTGACGGTTCAAATACTTGGGTTCCTGCCACCCACGTGAGAGACCTGATTGAGTTCCAGCTCCCAAGCGCTGCGGGTGGGGCCGGTGGGGTGAGCCAGTGGATGGCCGCGCTCTGTGTTCTCTGTCTCTCTGCTTTTCAACTGTAAATGTCTGCAAAGACAGCGAAGACGCCAGGACAGAGCAGAGGCCCAGGCAGCTCTGAGTCATGCAGGCAGCCTCTAGAAGCTGGGAGAGGCCAGGATGTGGATTGTCTCCTGGAGCCTCCGGGGCAGTCCCGCTCTGCCAACGTGGATTTTCTCTGCTAAGATTCTTCTAGGACTTGTGATCTCCAAACTGTATGACCCTAAGCACGGGTCATTTTAAGTCCTACTAAGTGTGTGTGGATTTGCTACCACAGCCAGCGGAAGCCGATACAAACACCTAGTGGGTGCAGCCAGGATCTGGGACCCAGCCAGGAACAGGACAGCAGAGGCCCCGGGCTCTTGTGAGCTGGCCATCGGGGCAGACAGCAGGCAAACAGACGCCGGTCCCAGGCGCCGTGGGGCTGTGATGAGCCCCCAAAGAGAAGGAAACAGAACAGAGACCGCTGGCTAGGGCAGTCACAGGCGGCCGCTATGAGGGGTGACGTTCTCGAGCTGAGATCCAGAAGACAGGAAGGAGGAGCCTGCCAGGGAGGCAGTGGCCAGGGCGAGGGCAAGGGCCCTGGCGGGGTGGGGGTGGAGAGGGCGGCTCCCAGGGGCCTCCTAAGGGACGCATCTGATGGGCACCGTCCCGCTTGGAGCGCCTCTTACCAGAACGCACCCACCAGGGCCAGCCGCAGAAGAACAAACACCATGGGATCCCATGGCTACGAGGTGCCCAGAGCAGTAGACTCAGAGATGGGATGGGGGGGGGTGGTGCCAGGGCCTGGGGGAGGAGCGATTAGGAGTTAGTGTGCAATGGGGAGTCTCAGTTTGCAAGATGAAAAGTTCGGCAGGTGGATGGTGGTGATAGCTGCCCTACAATGTGAATGTAAATGGCAAAAATGAGGCAGGCATTGTGGTGCAGCAGGCAAAACCAATCCATTGTTTCACTCCCCAGATGGCCGCAACAGCCCGGCTGGACCAGGCTGAATCCAGGAACTTAGAGCGTCTTCTGGGTCTCCCATGTGGATTTAGGAGCCCAAGGACTTCGACCATCCTCAGCTGCTTTCCCAGGTGTATTAGAAGGGAGCTGGATCGGAAGTGGATCAGCCGGGTCTCGAACCAGAGCCCATGTGGGATGCCAGCGTTGGAGGCGGAGGCTTAACCTACTATGCTACAACGCCAGCCCCTAAACATATCTTTTGCTTCCACTTCCATACACTTTCCGAAGCACCCTCCTATGCGTGAATGTGTACATACATGAGTGTGTGTGTGTAGTGTGCGTGTGCACAGATGTATGTGCGAGTGTGTGTATTTGTGCATGATTCGCGGACGGGGGAATGGAGCTGAGTGCTGACGCTGCGGCTGGGCGTTGGATGTGCTGGTGATATTCACACTCCAGCCACGTTCCTGAATGTTCCAAGTGTGTCATAATTGAAACCCGGGGAGAAAAGCAATAGTTTTTAAAGGTGGAAGTCACCTGGGAGCCACAAGCTGTCGCGGGAAGACTGTGAGTGACAGAAGTGGCCTGGTGACTCTTTATCTGAACTTGGGGTTTTCTTACAGAGGCCCTCCAAGGCTGAGGTCCCTCCATGGGTGGGTTCAGGGGCTCCCCCTTGGAGAACACCCAGGTCTCCAGGGACTTGGCAGGACCCCCTCCAGCGTCCCCTGCTGTCTTGGCCTAGGCAGCAGTGCCTGCTCCTAGTCATCTGTTCCCCGGGGGCTGGGAAGCAGGGCAAACCACACTGCAGCCCAGTGCCCATTGCTCCCAGCGCCCTTGGCCTTCCTGGACTTGGGGGAGAGGCAGGCAAGGTGTGCAGGGAGCCCAGACATGGAACAGGCGACGACTTTCCAAGAAAGGAAAGGGGAGCTCCTTGTGGGCTGCAGGTGGGGAATCACCAGGCCCGGGCAGTTGCTGGCTGGGGGATGTTTTCTCTCCACACGCTGGGTGCTTTACGCCCCTGCCCTTCTCCCCCATTCAGTGCGTGGAGAACTCCCTAATGGGATCCTCTTTTCCCCCAGACTTCCTTCTCCTTTGGTTTAAACTAATTTGTAATGGAAACGATGCAGGGCCAACATGGGGTGCAACAGTGAACACACTGCTTGGGGTGCCTGGTTTGAATCCCAGCTCTCCTTCCCATCCAGGTTCCTGCTAATGCACACCCCGGGAGGCAGGGGTGCCGGCTCAGGTCCTCGTGGAGTTTCAGGCTCCTGGCATTGGCCTGGCCAAACAGTCCCAGCTGTTCGGAGCATCTGGGGAGTGACCAGTGGACGAAAACTCTCTCTCTCTCTCTCTCTTTCTGCCTTCAAATGAAGTGAAAATGAATACATACATAATTTTAGATAAATAAACATATAAGGGTAGAAATAACCCAAATGTTCACAACGTGGAGCAGCCATGCAACAGGGTCTCAACCCGGCCTGACCAGAGAAGGCCCTTCTGATGCGGCCACCGTACGCATGAGCCTTGATGCCATTAGGCTAAGCTGGAGAAGCTACCAAAGGCCCAATACTGGGACAGGCCTTGTAGCGCGGTGGGTTAAGCCGCCCTGCCCCAGCATCCCATATTGCAGCGCCAGCTCAGGTCCCGGCTGCTCCACTTCCGATCCAGCTCCTTGCTAATATGCTTGGAGAGCAGGGGAGCATGGTCCAAGTGCTTGGGCTCCTGCACATGAGAGAACTGGATGGAGTTGCTGGCTCCTGGCTGCAGCCTGGCTCAGCTCCCGCCATTGCAGCCATTTGGGGAATGAACCAGGGATGGAAAGTCTTTCTACCTGTCACTCTGTCTTTGAAATAAATAAAACAAACCTTAAAAAAAGGACAAATACTATACGATCCCACTGACAGAAGGTACCTGGAGTGGTCAGATCCTTAGGGTGTACGTGGTGGCTGGCAAGGGCTGGGGGCAGGGGCATGGAAGTTGTGTTT